CTGCAGCAAAGAACAACATTGGTGTCGTCATTGCACTTTGGGCTCCTATCATTCTTGTATGCCTTCTGTCCTCTTCATTGTGTAGAACAGAAGTTGTTCATCCTATTTTGACCTACCTTGGTTTATTGGTTCAGGTGTATTTCATGGATACCCAAATATGGTATGCAATTTTCTCGACATTAGTTGGTGGTATCTATGGGGCATGTCGTCGTCTTGGTGAGGTTAGTAATACCGACCAACACCTTCCACTCGCCGTTCTGTAGATTGACCTTTTAGGGATGGGTCAGTATGTAAAGTTGTTCTTTAATTAAAACTTGTTAAATTTCCAAATTTTTATGAGCATCGCTTGTTACTCATTATTTCTGGATTTGATTGTGCTGTGAATTTTTTGTACAATGGAACAAAGCAACTTACAGAGTGTAATGTTGTTGGTGTTACTAAATCAGATACGAACCTTGGGAATGTTAAGATCTCGCTTCGAATCTTTGCCGAAGGCTTTCAACGATCACTTGATTCCAAATGACTCAAAGAGGAGAGGATTCCGTTCCGCTTTCTCCAGTAAACCTTCTCAGGTGTGGATTTTCTTTTTATTTTCACATATTAATGGAGAGTACATTAGGTGTAGATCCCTTCTACGAGAATGCATTTATGTTCTTGTTTTATTTTGTCTTCTCATCTAACACGCTTAAGTTACTCTAGAAACCTGGAGATGGCAAAGAAGAAGACAAAATAGCTGCAAGATTTGCTCAGATATGGAATCTGATCATCACAAGCTTCCGCCAGGAAGACTTGATAGATAACAGGTGCGGCATCTGATATCTATTTTTACATATTGACTGTCCTTCTGATTCCTGCTGATCTGTTGTTTGTTGCGTTCTGGTCAGGGAGAAGGACTTGTTACTTGTTCCATACTGCAAAGATCGTGAAATGGATATGATCCAGTGGCCACCATTCCTGCTTGCTAGCAAGGTACATATTCTCATTCAACTCCTGCTGTTATTTTGGTGGAATGAGGCATCGTCGTTTCATTTTATTTTATTAGCTGCATTTCAGATTCCAATAGCATTGGATATGGCAGCAGACAGTGGAGGAAAAGACCGCGATCTAAAGAAACGGATGAATTCAGATCCATATTTCACTTACGCCATCAAGGAATGCTATGCTTCATTCAAAAACATAATATATGCTTTAGTGGTTGGTGTACGGGAGCGAGAGTATGTTCTACATTCTCCTCACTTCTTTAAAAGTACCAAGTCTTGATTGTTTTTTGTTCTTATTAACAAACTTCATGATATATATTTTCAGTGTCATCCAAAAGATTTTTAAAGTGGTGGATGATCTCGTAGCAGACGATACTCTGATAAGGGATCTGCACATGAGTAACTTACCTACCCTGAGCAAGAAGTTTATTGAGCTGCTTGTGATACTGGTATATATAGAATTAGTCATCATGCATGGTCCGGGTCATGTTGAATGTGTATGCCACCTCCTAATCCTTCTTAATTCTTAATTCCATGCAGCAAAAGAATGACAAAGATGACCGGGGTCAGGTCATCATTTTATTCCAGGATATGCTCGAGGTGGTAACAAGGGATATAATGGAAGAACAACTCACCGAGTGAGAGACCTAACTTATCATCATTCTACTGCAGAATGGTCTTTTCCCACTCAGTGGGAAATCACATGCATTAGATTCTTGGTTGTTGCGTTGTCTTTCGTTACTTCTTATATGTAGTATTGCTATCTCTTGATCAGGCTACTAGAACCGGTACATGGTGGAAATAATAGAAAACACGAAGGGATCACACCACTTGATCAACAGGAACAGGAACAGTTGTTCACTAAAGCTATTGAATTTCCTGTCAAGGCATCAGATGCCTGGAAGGAAAAGGTTATATTTCAGATATTTTTATTTATTTATCGTTGTTTGATTGAACTAGGGACATTTATATATATTTGAAAAATAAAGATAAGCTTCTAAGACTGTTGCTCATGTTCTTGGCTTCAGATAAAAAGGCTTCACCTTCTGCTCACAGTGAAGGAGTCTGCTATGGATGTTCCTACAAACCTGGATGCTAGAAGGCGGATATCTTTCTTTGCTAATTCTCTTTTTATGGACATGCCAAAAGCTCCAAAAGTGCGCAATATGCTGCCCTTCTCGTAAGTTTTTCTTCTCTCTATTTATGTGTATGATGTATTCTATTCTATGCTTGAATCATCGTGTACTGGATTAGCTTCCTTGTGTATTTTATGGATAACCAAGCATCATTCATTCCATGGAGTTTTGCTTCTTTGCCTTCATATATGTAAATATTCACACTTCTGTTACTCCCTAAACAAAATGCATGCACCGTTATGCTAGTAGTATAACTCGATGTAGAACTGCATTTCATGTAGAACTGCCCTTTCCAAATTCTGTTTCCAGCTCATGTTAATAGGGGTAAGAATGGTATCCTAATGAATAGTTGGCTTGCTGCTTCTTTACGGGGCAACTTGTGTACTGCAGTGTCTTGACTCCCTATTACAAAGAAGACGTCCTTTTCTCCTCACAAGCACTAGAGGAGGAGAACGAGGATGGGGTTTCTATCCTTTTTTACCTGCAAAAAATCTACCCAGGTACATCCCATCCATCGAGTCGGCATATCCTAGTAACTCCAGTCCCCGGACACGAAACTCATGTTTGCCTCTCCTTGCAGATGAGTGGAAAAACTTTCTTGAAAGGGTGGACTGCAAGAATGAAGAGGAACTCCGTGAGACTGAACAAACGGAAGATGAGCTTCGCCTTTGGGCATCATACAGGGGCCAAACTTTGACGCGAACTGGTATCCCCTTTGCCTCTTCTCTCATAGGCACTATACTTTTCCAAAAAAGAAAAAAAATGCATTGGTATCATGGCTCGATATTTCTTTCCTTCAGTAGTAATGCTTGCTCAATCTTACAGTAAGAGGGATGATGTACTACCGACAAGCTTTGGTGCTTCAGTCTTGTCTTGATATGGCCCCAGAGAATGGTATTTCTATGCGACCGAGCCTGTTTCCTGATTGTGATTTTTCGGAACACAGTATGATGATGTATCAACTAATTTGCCTGCTTTCCTCAGATCTTATGGAAGGCTTCAGGGCTGCAGATATACTATCTGAGGAATCACACTTATTAACTCAGTCCAAAGCTGTAGCCGACATGAAGTTTACATACGTTGTATCATGCCAGTCATACGGTATCCAGAAACGTTCTGGTGATCAACGTGCGCAGGATATTCTGAGGCTGATGACAACGTAAGTCTTTATTCAAGAATATAAAGTTCTATAGAGGGTATTGCGATAATAGTTAACGTTCCATTTATATTTTATCACTTCATTTTCTTGAATATGTTGGATGTCTGATTCCTTTCTCTGACACGTCAAAACTAGAATATATCTCCTTGCAAACTGTTACGCGGAAGAATAGATTATGATCTGTAGTTCAACCGTAGAAAGTTGTGTTAGGTCATGGGATTGTATTAGCCTCTTAGGATACAACTATTAGTGCATTTGGTAGTTTTTATAGTTTTGCTGATCTTCCATGAGCGTGCACACAAGAAAGTTTTTCAGGTGTTGTATCAATTCACTGGGTTCTAATCTGGTTTGGACACACCGCCTCTGTTTTGATCATTGCGATATATTCTATGCATGTCATCAATGATTGAAAAGGCTTGTTTATTTGCCAGTTATCCATCACTTCGGGTTGCCTATATTGACGAAGTCGAGGAGACAAGCAAAGAGGGGGAGGCAAGCAAAGATAGGAGCAAGAAGATAGAGAAGGTTTACTACTCAGCGTTGGTGAAGGCGGCAGTAACTAAGCCTGATGATCCTGGTCAGAAACTCGATCAGGTACTGTGAAATGAAATGGTTTTAATAATCATCCCTATATTTGAAACAGGTGCATTTCGTGATCTCACCCGTGCCGATTCGATATAAACTTGCTTACCTTGTGTCATTTTGTTGTGTAATAGGACATTTACAGGATAAAACTTCCGGGCAATGCAATGTTGGGTGAAGGCAAACCAGAAAATCAGAACCATGCGATAATTTTTACTCGAGGTGAAGGCCTACAAACCATAGACATGAATCAGGTATATATGCGTCATTTGTGCTTCTTGTGCTGCTAGCTAGTATTTTTTGGGCCATTTAGTCATGGTGTGATGCTATGACATGACAGGAGCATTATATGGAGGAGACATTGAAAATGAGAAACCTGCTGCAAGAGTTTACCAAGAAACATGATGGTGTGAGGTATCCAACAATACTTGGTGTAAGAGAACATATATTCACTGGCAGGTATATATATGTCGTTTCTGACTGCCTCCTTCACCCTTCAATTTGTGATTAATGTATGACTTCATCATACAATGTTGCTATTTGCTTGGATAAAATTACTCATTGTTATGATTGCTTTTGCAGTGTTTCTTCGCTTGCGTGGTTCATGTCAAACCAAGAGACAAGTTTTGTGACTATTGGACAGCGTGTACTTGCCAATCCTTTAAGGTAAATCATCATGACTGAATCACAATGCAGTTCATCTCATTCATGGGTTTACTACGTTCAGTTACTTACTTTCTATATGTTTCTTTCTACAACTTGTCGTTAATTCTGCAAGTAACAAGTTATTGTTGATTATTTCAATTTAGTACTCCTTTTTTGTTCATTTGGTTGAGTTGTGTTCTTGGTTTTGTTTCTTTCTGTTAGTGTTACTCTGTGCAGTGTTACTCCTCTTTCTTTGAAGAAATTTAAAGATTGTTGGTTTATGATTTCTTTTCCTGGACACTCTCACGTGCAGGGTTCGATTTCATTATGGACATCCTGATATCTTTGATCGACTTTTCCATCTCACGAGGGGCGGTGTAAGCAAAGCATCTAAGATTATTAATCTTAGTGAGGACATATTTGCTGGTATGCATGCGGTCAACATTTTGCCGTTGCTGTGTGTGGTTCTTGAAGATGTTGTTATGCTAATTAATACCTGTCTCTTTGCGACAGGATTCAATTCAACACTGCGTGAAGGAAACGTTACACATCATGAATACATGCAAGTTGGCAAGGGAAGAGATGTTGGTCTCAACCAGATTTCACTATTCGAGGCGAAAATAGCGTATGGTAATGGCGAGCAGACACTGAGCCGTGACATCTACCGACTTGGGCATCGTTTTGATTTCTTCAGAATGTTGTCCTGCTACTACACTACCATCGGCTTTTACTTCAGCACAATGGTACTGATGCCTTTGCCTTGCTGGACTTTTCAGCTTTCTGAAAATAATTGGTTAATATTCCTAACCTCTGTAGCTTTGCTGTTCTTTTTCCAGATTACGGTATGGACCGTGTATGTATTTCTCTATGGGCGTCTGTATCTTGTCCTCAGTGGGCTTGATGAAGGACTAGCCACTGGAAGAAGGTTTATACACAACGACCCTCTCCAGGTCGCTCTCGCCTCGCAGTCGTTTGTGCAGCTTGGCTTCTTGATGGCGCTCCCTATGATGATGGAGATCGGTCTGGAGAGAGGGTTCAGGACTGCGTTGAGCGACTTTGTGCTCATGCAGCTTCAGTTAGCGTCTGTCTTCTTCACGTTCTCCCTCGGAACCAAGACTCACTACTACGGAAAGACGCTGCTCCACGGAGGAGCCGAGTACAGAGCCACGGGGCGTGGATTCGTGGTGTTCCACGCCAAATTTGCCGAGAACTATCGACTGTACTCACGGAGCCATTTCGTCAAGGGCATTGAGCTGATGATCCTGCTTATCGTGTTTGAGATCTTCGGGCAGTCGTACCGAGGAGCTATCGCGTACATCTTCATCACCTTCTCCATGTGGTTCATGGTTGTCACCTGGCTCTTTGCGCCGTTCCTGTTCAACCCTTCTGGGTTCGAGTGGCAGAAGATTGTGGACGACTGGACCGACTGGAACAAGTGGATCAGCAACCGCGGGGGTATCGGTGTTTCGCCAGACAAAAGCTGGGAGTCATGGTGGGAAAAAGAGCACGAGCCCCTTAAATACTCGGGGAAGCGTGGCACCGTTCTTGAGATAGTGCTGGCGGTGCGCTTCTTCATCTACCAGTATGGGCTTGTTTACCATCTCAACATAACCAGACACACCAAGAGCGTCCTGGTAATTTATCTGCTTGGTCTTATTATCCTGATGATGCCTATCATGTATCTAAACATGATGACTTGATTGTGTTCTACGGTCTCTGTTTTACTAGTAAGCCTACTGACTAATGAATGGGCTGTCTTTCCAGGTGTATTGCTTGTCATGGGTTGTCATCTTCTTCATATTGCTGGTGATGAAGGTGAGCATTAAGTTAACTAGTGGCCTGGCCATTTAACTGCAGTCTTCTCAATTGTGACACGGCAGAGATTAGGGCTGGCCATTGCTTGTCCTCTTGTGCTACAACAGACATTAGGGTGTCCTCTTGTGCGAGTTTGGCTGTTGACTGACTCTGTTTATGCACGCACGCAGGCTGTGTCGGTTGGGAGGCGGAAATTCAGTGCCGAGTTCCAGCTCGTGTTCCGGCTGCTCAAGGGGCTCATCTTCATCGTGTTCATCTCCACCATCGTGATCCTGATAGTGATCCCTCACATGACGATCCAGGACATATTTGTCTGCATCCTCGCCTTCATGCCCACAGGATGGGGCCTGCTCCTGGTAATTAATTAATCTGGTGTATCCTGCTACATGATGAGGTGTTCATATTGAAAGATGCATAGCAATGAAGATTGTTTGATTGCAGGTGGCTCAGGCGCTGAAGCCTGCGATCATGAGCGTGGGGCTGTGGGGGTCGATCCGGGCGCTGGCTCGTGGGTACGAGATCATCATGGGGCTGCTGCTCTTCACCCCGATCGCGTTCCTGGCGTGGTTCCCGTTCGTGTCGGAGTTCCAGACCCGGATGCTCTTCAACCAGGCCTTCAGCCGTGGGCTGCAGATCTCGAGGATCCTGGGCGGGCACAAGAAGGACCGGGCAGCGCGGAGCAAGGACGATAGGTAGATAGATTGTTGCTCTAGTAGCTAGTAAGATAGGATGATGATTGCCTGCTTGCTTGCTTGCTTGCTGTAGAATATATATATATATATATATATATATATATATGTATGCATGGTATGGTTTGTAGTTGTAGTAGTAGTAGAGCGAGGAGGTATGCATGGTATATGCTTAATTGACCTGATATTGGCGATTAGGAATTATTACTGTGGTTCCTGATTGGTGTGGTGTCTTGCATGTAAAAAGTTTTTGGCTAGTGTCTCCTTCTCTAGTAGATGAACTCTTTCTTCCCCCTCTCGCAAGGCGACTAGGGCGAAGCCTTCCTCTCCTTAATTTCCGCCGCCTTTGCTTGCCGCTCTGGCGGCGGTGGTGTGGAGGGGAATCCTAGTGCCTCTATCCTGGCTAGTACATAGGCTACAAGTTACAACTAGCAAAAGGGCTGTGCGTTGCAATGAAAAATAATAATTCATATAATCTTCAATGGCCATGACCACATTTTCCTGCATCACCAAGATACACTATAATTTGAGATCATGAATATTTTTTTGAACTCGTGAATATATTTGAAATCATGAACACTGTTATAAATTTTTGAACATCTGCTAAAAAGAACATTTGTTGAATTTATGAACATTTTATACTATTTGCACATTTTTCTAAAATTTGTGAACATTTTTTAAAACAATTTTATTGAATCGGCGAACATTTCTAGAATTGAGGAACATTTTTTTGGAAATAGGCGGAACAAATTTTGAAATTCACGAACATTTTTTTGGATTTAACGAACATTTTTCGAAATGCATGATAATTTTTTGAATCAGAGAACATCTTATGAATGAATAAACTATATTGTAAGTTATGAACAATTTTTGAATTTTTAGGATATTTTTTCATCCATGAACATTTGTTGAATTGGCGAAATTTTGTTCAATTTCATTAACATTTTCCAATACATGAACTTTTTAAAAAATCATGAATATTTTTTCATTTCCTGAACATTTGTTTCCAAATTTTTGATCATTTTTTGTATACGAAAACAATTTTTTACAAAATCACGCACAATTTTTGAATCCACAATCATTTTATGATTTATTAAACATTTTATTTAAAATTCTTTTTTTGTTAATTTTTGAAACTTTTTTGAAGTCCCAAATTATTCATAGTAGAAAAAAAAACGAAAACGGAAAAGAAAAAGGAAAAATAAAAACAGAATTTAAAAAACAGGCCGCCCATACATGGGTTGGCCCAAACGGACACGCTGTGCCTTCTCCCTGCGTGCGGAGCGCAGTATAGGAGGTCCATACTGGATGGGCCGGCCCAGGCGGGGGATTTCCCTATATGAAACGTTTGTAGTCACTTACCAATGGCATTGGTGGGTAACATTTTACAACCTTGAGGGCTATTTCCGTGACGTACCGCTAAAAACAATAGCCTCTTTATTATTACTAGCAAAAAAGGCCCGTGCATTGCAACGGGAGAAACAAATCTTGCACGTCCTAGTTTGTGTTTCCACTTGAATGACACATATTATAACTGAAATTTGTTGGCTGATCAAAAGGAGCAATTCGCTTTAGTACTAACTTCCACTTTGCACACCTTTTCAACTTGTAATGTAGTGTAATCATTTGTCCTAGAGGAATAGCTTCAAAATCAGAAATAGCTAGCAGGGACCCGAAATCATCTGATCACCAGCTGCTCTGCTCAGCTCACCGTGACTTCATTTGTACACTTTGTTCGTTCACTCAATATAAGAGATGAGAGAGATACAGTAGTATTCATAAGAGAATCTATTCACCAACTGATGGTTACTCATCACATTACATTATAACTTTCCATCTTTAACTGGAGCACCAGAGTGTACGCAAGCAAGCATTGGTTTGTAACCCATAGAAGACCATTTTTTTAACCTACAAAAGAGAGAAATTTAGTCCATATGGGCATCATCCTTTTGCACATAGCTAGCACGGACCTGAAAGAGATACAAACATTTTTCTGAATATTAGTACAGTACAAAGTCCTGGGTAGGAAAATCCATTGGCGCGCTCTTCCTCGCCTGGTCACGATATCATTCACCGTTCGTCAGCATGCAGATCAGACACAGCAAAATATTGTGGGACATACCCGATTTTAATAATGTAACAGGTTGGCCAACGATACCGTGATGTCGTTGTGATGGCCACACCCGTACGTCGAGTTATCCTGTGGGATGCCGCCGCCGATCTGCTGACCCTGATCCGATCAAACCTGAACAGCCACCGGAAAAAGGAGTCAGCTAGTCATGTACGCCTCCTTCATACAGTCTACCATCTTCATAACACCTCTCTGCATGGTATCACCGCGGCAATCGCCGGAGTTGTCCATGCGACCACCGACGATGTGCACCCCTCGCTGCAAATGGATCGTCGTTATCCATTGTACGCTTCAGTAGGTGCAGCAAGTGTACCAAGAACCTACATAACTACTCATTGATCGGTCCAACGCTGTGAGTGTAGGGGTTCAATCGCTTGCTGCGTCTTCCGCTACAGGTAGCCCACTCAATACTTCAGCAGGTTCTTCAATCGCAAGTCCAATATCTTTTTTTTCTCGAAAAGGGGGGGTTCCCCGGTCTCTGCATCAGAGCGATGCAAGTGTAATATCTGAGCAGCAAAAAAAAGTCAAAGACCTGAGCAGCAAAAATTTACGAGTGAAGTTACCACCAGTGGAATTCAGAACAAGATAGATCAGCCGAGGTTAATGCACTACATCAACCTGACTCAAACTCCATGTGCACCTCTCTCTTTTCTACCAGAAAAATGAAAGCCCCACCATGACCTTGGAGCTCTCCCTGCCAGCCATGGAGGCCCGCCTCCAGCTGCAAGGACTTCGCCCGCGGCGCCGGATCCCTCATTTCCCGCGCCCGCTGGATCCCGCCGCCGCCGTTCTGCATCGAGCAGATGCGTAGTCCCCAGCCTCTCGAGCAGCCGCGTTGACCTGATCCAGAAGCTGCCGTCGAGAGCACGGCAGGAGCGGCGAGCGGGCAGAGGTGCGGCCGCGACGGCGGGCGGGTTGAGGTCGGCCGCGGCGGCCAGGGGATTTGGCTCGGCAAGGCCAGGGTTGTGGGGGGAGGCGGAAGCGTACAAGTGTTTTTTTCCAGCGAACCGTTTTTTCTTTGCAGATTAACGATAGATTGCGGGTTCAATGCACAAAATCACAGGGGCTTTTCTACAAATAGTGCGTGACGGTGAACCCGGAGACTCAATCCGTGCTTTATTATTAGGGAGAGATTAGGTATAGATTTCAGTCCTTGTAGGTGCGATGTCTGGGTGGATGGTGGTGCTTCATCTTTGAGTCGGTTTTTCGGGCTACGATCCTCTTTGAGTTTGTTCGTCGGGATGGATTTGACGGATCTTTGTCGTAGATCCTTGCCACCTAATCTGGGTGGTGAGGTTAGGATTTTTTGATGTGCATACACAACGACAAGATTTGGTACCAGTTGGTTCTTTGGATTCATTCAAGGGTTCAACGAGCAACAATCTACGGTTTCGCGATGCATGTTTATAAGGGCACGTGCAAGAAGACTTCCTAGATGCCATCGACACAGTTAGGCACTTAGGTTGGTTCGAGAGTGGCGACGTTGGTGGTTGTTCAGTAGTCCAGTGACATTGATGTAAATTTTATTATGTTTTGGATATGAATTCATACTTTTGGCAAACCTTTGTAATGGAGATTTGGGTGCTTATATTTATTTATTTTTCTTAGAAAACTAGAATATGTTGTTTTATTAAAGGAAATAAATGAGCACCAAAACGGAAAGAAGTTATTAGCCAGCAAGCCAGCAAAATCTTAGTAAAAGATTTGTTGTTTTTATTGAAGGAAATAAATGCCCAAAACAAAACAAAACATTTTTTTTTGGAAAGAAGTTATTATTACCCAGCAAATCCTTAGCTAGCGTTCAAACCCAGCAAAAGTCCCTCCTTTAATTTCCTTCCCTTCCGACAAGCAGCCAGCTGAGAGTGCCAGCCGGCGGCCACCGGCGGCCAATCCATGGCGGAGCACATCTGGCACCAGTTCTTCTCCATCCTCGCCTGGATCATCGCCGATGCCGACCTGGCCCGCCGCACGCTCGACCATGCCGCGGACGAGCTCGAGGGGGCCATTGACCACCACGCGTCCAACGTCTACTCGGCCAGCGACGCGCCGGTCCGGCGCTTCCTCCGCCGCTACGTCTTCGACACCGCCCGTGACCGCGTGGCCGCCCTCAGCAGCGAGGAGCCTCGGCCGGTCGCCGCGGACGCCGCCGCCCTGCCCCTGCGTCCCAACCGCGGCCTCCTCATGAACGTGAAGGCGGGCATCGACCTGCTGCTGGCCTCGGAGCCGTCCGCCGGCGTGATGCGCGCCTTCTTCCTGCGGGACACGCGGCAGAGGAGCCGCCACGACTGCTATCCGGTCTGGTTCGCCGGCGTCCAGTCCGCCGTCGCTAACGCGGTCCGCAGGCTGTCCCGGGCGCGGTTGGAGCTGGGGGGCGTGTGCTCCGACGTGGAGGAGTTCCTCGCCGTGCCGGTGCCGGCCCAGTCCCAGGGAGCCGGCGAGGCATGCGCCGCCACGGCTCGCCACGCCCGTTCGGGCGTTGCCAACTTGGACGCCCTCGTCCAGATCCTGCGTGTGCTCGAAGAGGAGCTCGAGGACGAACCCCCTACCGCCCGTGTCGTGCACTTCTTCGGTTACGTTCCACCGCCGCCGCCGCCACCACCTCCGGCCAACGGCGCAGGTTCGCTCGACCAAGACCAACTGGTGCTTGATTGAATCATTCTACAGTATTATTTTGTGTCCATTTTGTTGTCTTGCTCACATGCTTGAGTCGACGTCCAGGTCCAGCAGGAGGAGCAGCAGCCGGAGGCGCCGCGTAGCCGGCCGCTGGAGACGGTTTCCAATTGCTTGGCCTCAACTTCTGTTTTTCTCCTGCACCATATCGATCGATCAATCCCATCTACAAATTGAACAGTCATGGTGAGACAACTCAGACCAAT